GGTTCATCAGGGGCTTAACCATCGCTACAGGGTGTAGACCAGTCCACTTCCAACCACTTCTGATGTTCGAGACTGATAGACCAGCAAGTCGAGCCTTCTGGTAACAGTCCAGGAAGTTCCTTTACCTATAATGGTAGAGTCGTTCCATTGAGACAAGTAACCGAGCTCCTTCCGATAGGCTGACTTAACAGGGCTGAAGACAGACTGGTCAAGTGGCTGGAGGACATGAGAGGAGTGTGGTGGTAAGAACAGTAAATGGATATTGTTAATATAGCAATTCCACATGAAGTCTGTCGTCGTATGACTCCCATGCCCATCCACAATCAACAGTCGAGCCTCGCCCTCAGCCTCGGGCATAGTCTGTGGGATAAACACCTTCTAACCATTCAATGGCAGTTAAGTCTGTAGTCCAGCCATTATCTGTTGCTGTAAACTCCCACCCATCGTATGGAACCAGATGTAATGGAAACCACTGTTGTTGGACCGTCTTCCCTTGAAAATGATAAGAGGACGAAGTGCCCACCCAAGGCTGAGATACACTCAATGATAGAGACCCATGCCCTCGACCCAGGTTGTTTCTGCGAACAGACGTCGTCTCAGCCATGCCCAGCACTAACCCATTAGCTCCTGACCCTCGAGGATGCCAGTCTCATCCATATTATATCTGTTGGCTGGTTTGATGTCCTGATCTCAGGGATAGCAAGGAACTTAAACCAGTTCCTAATGACCTCAGTAGATGCCCCATTAACGCGTCTAGAATCGATGGAACGACTTCTCTGAACCTTAATGATAGGGTTCCTTCTCACGAAGGCATAGATCCAGCCTTTTCCTAATGGTTTGGTATCCCCAGCAGCAGCCAGAACTCGCTCTGCGAATTCCTTCACCTGTTGGTGCGTTGGTGAGGCCCAGCGAAGCCTGAATGCGAACCCATTGTGCCAGCACTCTCCTGGTCAGGAGACAGCCTCTGCCAGTCAGCAAAGCCACTTTCCTAGTCTGACCACCTTGGAGACGTAGTTGGAGGGTTGATCGTGGTATCCCATACTCCAATGAGGCTCTCTTTTGACTCTTGCCGTTTGAGATGTCCTCGAGAGCCTGACGAAGCTGATCTTCGGTATATTGAGGCATTAGATATAGAAGAAGGTATGTGCAAAAAATGAGCCCATTTGGACTCGAATTGAAAATGTTGTGATAAAAGGAGGTTGGGGGTGGGCATTGCGTTGTGGTGGATTTTCGCGTTTTTGTGGGTGCCAGAAACAGGGGGGTGCCGGGAAGTGGGGGGTTTGACTTACCCCAGTCACACCTAGATGCCAGTCGATTCGAGTCAGAGCCACCTTGCGCTGATCCATGTCGGAAACGAGATATATTAAGAAAAAACACGGCAACAGCTAGCCGCAGTTGTGGACTTTATAGCCAAGCATCCGCAAACTCAATCTGACCTGAAGTGAGGCAATGACTAGAACGCGCGCGGAGTTCAAGTTAGACACGGGTATCACGAAATCTGAGCTCCGGCGCAATATGACTAAGGTCACCTCGCCGAACGCGAAACCGAATCTTCTGCTGAGCAGATGGGTACGATGTTTGCAAATCGCATGATGGATTACCCAATGCTTTTGTAACAGGAAAATCAGCTTGGCGATAGCATTGTTACCCGATTTCAGAAAATTGTACCCTATCTAACCTGCTCATTCCTCACTCAGAGACGTACTCGTCACAAGTTCTTTCTGCTTGACAGACACTCCTCTCAATTATCGTTGTTTACCTTCCTAGATCGTTTGTATATCTAATCACTGGTGACTTTGATGATGCCCGACTCACTCATCAACACCTCTACCACAGACCAGGGACAGCCAACACAGTTTCACGATTCTGCTCATGTTCGGATCCTCAGCTATGTTGTTCTCGCGCTCTTTCCGCTTATCGCCCTGGCAATCAGCAGAATCTCCACGCCCAGCTTGGATCCGAGGGAGCCGCCACTCCTGAAGCCGACGATACCTGTTGTGGGACACCTGGTCAACATGCTCTACAAGGGCGGCAAGTACTATCTAGAGATGTATGAGTCTTCTCAGGGCAAGCTTTCGACAGCCACGCTCAGCATCTTTGGCCAAAAGGTCTATCTAATTGCCTCTCCCTCTCTGGCACAGGCAGCTCTCCGCAATCGTCTTCTTTCCTTTGACCCTTTCGTCGTCCAGGCGAGCGATGGTCTGGTCAGACTCAGCGCAAAAGCAAAAGAGCTTTTCGTGGACGGCACACTTCTCCATGCCTTCTCCACGACGGTATCAACAGCAACTGCACCAGAACCCATGCGACGTATGACGATCACGGCACTTGCGGCGTTTACTGATGATCTCAATGCACTGGCAGCCGGGCCTGAGCATCAGCAGGAGATCCAGCACTTGTATCACTTTCTCAGAAATCGCATCGCCGTGGCCGCGACAGATTCGCTTTACGGCAAAAAAACAAACCCATTTAGACATGACGCTCGTCTGGTGGATGATATCTGGTGCGTTAACTCAAGGCCTCGTACAGTTTTCAATCTTAACAGATTATAGGACATTTGATGATGCATTGACCTATCTTTTCCCTAATATAAAGCCTGAGTGGATAGCACCAGCTGGCAATTCTGCTCGAGAGCGACTTCAAGGCGTTCTCGTCAAATATTTCGAGCAGTTCCCTGACGAGCCGTCATTTCCACCAGACGTCGCAGAGTTCACGAAGCTGCGGGCACGCATTATTCGCAAATCTGGCCTCAGCGACACTGACCTGGGCCGACTTGAGGTAGGCATGGTGGTAGCCGCAACAACCAATAGCGCCCCAATGTTCTTTTGGTTTTTAGTCAGCGTCATGTCTCGACCGGAAATTCTGTCCAAAGTCAGAGAAGAGGTTAAGCCGCTGGTGACTCTCGGAAAGGAAGAGATCACTAGGCCCAGTGGACCTGCGATAAAAGTAGTCGCAACAATTCATGCCTCTCAGGTGACCGATTCCAACATCTGCCCCTACATCAATGCGGCACATCGTGAGACCTTGCGTCTCTTCGATTCCAATACAGCAACACGGCACGTTGTTGATGACACGACACTTCCTGACGGGACTCTGCTGCGTGCGGGAGGCATTTGTCATATTCCCGCCGGTGTTGGACACCGCATCCCAGAAGCGTGGGGCGAAAGGGACCCAAATGAGTTTGCGCCTGAACGATGGCTCGAGCACCAAGTACGCATGTCGGGGTCAAGCGGTATCACGCAGAAGATGGCTTTTTGGCCTTTTGGTGGCGGCAAACACCTGTGCCCTGGTCGCAATTTTGCCATCAACGAGAACATAACCCTTCTCGCGGCATTGGTCACAGGTTTTGACTGCGATGGTCTCACTGTTCCTGAGTGCCCCATCGCAAACCTCACAGGCCAAAGTGTACCTCCGCCAAAGAAGCAAGTGAAAGCCACGTTTAGAAGACGAGAGGGTTGGGAACACGTCGAATGGAAGCTGGAATATTAAAGGTTCAATAGCGAATGAGCAGTGAGAGTAGATTGCAAACTTCGTGCTCTGGAAAAGTGTCCTTACTCAGATACAGTCGCAACTTACATATTGGCAATGTCTTCCTTGCTTCTCTGCCGGCACTAAGCCCTGCTCTTCAAGCCAATAGTAAGTCTGCATATGTCACGATTTTGGGCCACAACAATTGTACGCTCCTCTAGCACGTCTTCTCACTACAGTCTACTCAAACTCACTTAGAGAGCTTTGAGCGGCTAAACAACTTCCAGAGTCTCAGGCGAGCAACATTGATGCGAAGCCCGACCATGTTTTGTGATCAGGGACCTATGCCACGTACCGATGTCAATACATCAATGCATTAGGATATCGGGCTTTGAAATGTTTGCTCCACGAACGAATGGAGAAGGATTTCCATTGGACAATAATGAGTGGTTAGTATGCCTACGATTAGCAACAAACGAAAGGCACAAGAATTATTAAAGTTGTGGATAATAGAGAGACCCAAGGGGTCAAACCGGGCTCTGGATACAGGACGATATTTCACATCGTGTACAGGTATCGTACATATTACACGGCGAGTCAAAACTGCGCCAAGGTATTGGAAAGAGACTTGGCCTTCACCTGCCCCGTGGGAAGTCCAGGGTCAGGTAAAACATACAGTTTTAGATACGACTTTGGAAGATGATACCCACTTCATACTCGGGCTCGGTTTCGGGCTCATTGCCGTATTTTTGCCGTGCCGTTTCGCCAGTACTTAACAACAACTTTCACTTCGGAATGTGTTCTCCAATTACCATTCACAGTGTGTGTCGACTCTTCCAAGAATTCATTAGCCATGCAATTCCCTTCCACCAGCACGGGTTTGCTACCCTTAAATATGTTTCATTCACACTTGACAGTCGCACAAGCCACGCTTGCTGTAGCCATCTTAGTACGTCGCTCACAACGACCTCGGCCGCGGCCATCACATCAGTTTTAACCCCAGCCCCTAGTTCTCCATTCATCGCTTTGCAGTCATAATCTATCGCATCTACTTTCATCCTCTTCGCCATTATGCCGGACTGAAACTCGCAGCAGCAACAAAGCTTTATCGACTCTATTTCACAGTCATAGGGGATGGTGCCATCGCTCCCAAACGGCTCCATGATCAATATGGCCTTATTGTCCGGATTGGACCAGATGAGCTCAGCTACATTGATCACCGGGCATGGAAGGATATTCATGGCTTCCACAAGTCCGGGCAAGACCTCTTCGAAAAGGACTTGGTGATGTATGGACCAGATATTGCGCCTAATGTTCGGGGCCTGATCCGCGCCAACGACTCAGGGCACAGGCGCCAACGGCGGATATTCAGCCATGCGTTCTCAGACAAAGCACTTCGTGGACAGCAAGACCTCATTCGAGGCTATGTGGATATGCTGGTTGAAAAAATCCACCAGGTGCACCGGGTGGCCACGTGTCAGGGAGACAAGTCGGTGGAAGTGACTCGTCTGTACACTTTTACAACCTTCGATATTATGGCGGACTTGACCTTTGGAAAACCCTTGGGGATGCTCAGTGGTGAGAGCTTCGTGCCCTGGGTTTCGGTTATCGAGGAATCACTGAAGTACTCGGGATACACTTTACTCCTTCGTGCATACCCAATTCTCGAGACGTTCTTCACGCGTTTGATACCCAAGAGAATAAAGGCAATGAGAGATGAGCACATCAACTTCGCCGTAAAGCGGGTTGACGAACGCCTGGAGCAAGGCACCGACAGGGGCGATATCTGGAGCTTAGTTGAGCGTAACGCGGAGCAGGACAACATAACTCGAGAAGAGATGTACTCTAGTTCGTACGAGTTCCTCATCGCAGGATCTGAGACAACGGCAAGTCTTCTAAGTGGCTTGACTTACTTCCTCTGCAAAAACGAAAGCAAGATGAAGATTCTGCTCAAGGAGATTCGCAGCCTGAAAAGAGACGAGCTTACGATTTCCAAGCTCCAAGGTTTGAAGTACCTCCAAGCCTGCATCGACGAGGCTATGAGGCTCTATCCTCCTGTTGCCGGTGCACTGGGGCGCGTGAAGCGAGTCTGCGGGGCGAATATCTGCGGTCAATGGGTTCCTGAGGGGGTGAGTGTTCGATGTGGCGTGTATCCGCACCGTATATGGAGACGCAACTGCTGACGAAGTGGCAGACCACGGTAGGAATACCTCATATGGCAGCATATCATTCTGCAAAACACTTCAGTTTTCCAATGGAGTTTATGCCAGAGCGTTGGCTTACAAACCCTTCATCTGAATTTTCCGACGACAACAAGGAGATTTTCCAGCCTTTTCTCTACGGGCCTAGGAATTGTCTCGGAAAGAGGTATTTGACCCTAGATCATATCTTTAGTCTCTTCGACTTTGAATGCTGACTGAAACTAGTCTAGCTTATCACGAAGTTCGACTGATCATCGCTTCAATTTTGTGGAACTTTGACATCGAGCTGGAAAACAAGGAGATGGATTGGCTTGATCAAAAGTGGTATGGATTCTTCGAAAAGAATAAGCTGCGTGTGAAGATGACGCCGGCTGCGTGACCTGATGTGCATCAAGTTTACCAATTGTATTTCAATGTACTGGTTGATCCGTGTGGAGGGTTGTTGAGCAGCCTGACATTACTTATGCACGGGAATCCGCCATATGGCTCTCTGACCGTAACGAAGTTCAGGAAAGAAGCTACAGCTCAAGGTTATCCTATATGCACTTGTTTTCACTCATGCAAGCCCACCTCTCCATACTCTAATTCTCAAACTACACCTCCTTCAGTCTCTTGCCGAGCACCTTTCCGTGACACGGCATCAGAAGAAGTACTAGGACCAAATTAAATGAACGAGATGGCGTAGCCGGGGCGTAGTAGCGGGAGGAGTTGTCCTGTGTTATAAACCAGGTTTCTGATTGTGATTATTACATTAAAATAAGAACGTGAATAAGGTATGTTATGTACACCATATATTTGAAAAATATAGCATATTACATAATTGTTTCAAGAAGCCCAATCCCGTTAAGATCAGTTTTATATCCTCAAAAGGCCGGGGAAACCACCACTAGATGTAGGCACCTTACGCATATAAATCACCACATATATAATTACTATATGAAGCTTATAATTATTTCAATCTCGATAATCGTGATCTTGTTCCCGTAACCTAAGTCTTTATACGCTCGTTTACCCCGCTTACCTCAGCTCACCCTAGCTTACTACCTTAGAAGCGGCGGGGGATCCAGGGACACTTGGGCGACATGTTGGCATAAGGTATGAGAAAGCTCCGTGATTGTGAATGCATCAAGGACTTGACTTTTGTGATAATACCACCGCAAGTCTGCAGTTGACGACAAGCCATTTAACAGAGCATCCCTTGCGATCTTATTATTTACGATTGAACGAGAATACTCCGAAACGAGATCAGACTGAACCCGATCACACCCCGTTGCTATTACCCTTCTCGACTTCGAAGTAAAATTCTCATTCGCGTCATCGTCATTGACAACTCAACGATATTCAGAAACCCGGTAACATGACCCCCACCCATGCAAGACCGAGCTATGAAGTTCCGAGGCCACGGACATTACCCACCCAGCAGAGCTATGCTCGTATTGCGATTTGACTTTCTCATTCTCAGATATCATATTCGACAATCTGCTTTGCGGATAGTCCGGACAAACCACTTGCCCCCCACTTATGTGATCAGTCAGGTACAGCTATGTGATAGTGTATAGCGGACTCCATAGTACGTGATGAAATCTGCTCAATGAGGTAGTTCCGATGTATCTAGACCTACTTACTTACTTTACTGAATTTTCCGCGCCGAGGGTTTCCTCTTGCGGACCCCTCGGAGCCTTCTGCCCAGGTTTTCACTTTCTCTCTTTCTCTTGCATACCTAAGATAGCCAATCTCATTGATCACCGGCTGGTCCTGTAGAAACCCCTTTGAATCTCGCCCGAGGCCTTGCCTACTATGAAGCCGTTCAAGAGACTACTTCAGGATTCTTTGCAAGACGACGTGTTCTCTTCGCTAGTACTCCTCGCCAAACGTCGTGATGGTCAGATAATCCGCTCAGGCCCGACGCTTCCTTCGAAGCTAACATAACGATAGGATCTGATATCGTATCCGAATGCCTAGGCGGACCATCGCCATCATGGCCCAATCAAGCCCCCATCGACAAAGACACCGTCTTTACGCTAGCTTCCTGCTCGAAGCTCCCACTCACAGTAGCCGTATTACAGCTTGTAGAGAAGCGAACCCTCGCACTAGACACAGATGTGAGCTCCATGCTCCCAGTTCTGGGACGTCAGAAAGTCCTGGCTGGCTGGCGGCCAGACGGCTCACCCATCCTCAACGAGCGTCGCAACCCAATAACGCTTCGCCACCTATTGACACACTCCGCCGGCACGAGCTACTACTTCCAAAACAAAGACCTAAAACGGCTTCGAAGTCTCAGAGGAAACCTCTCAGCTACCTTGGAGCCCACTATTGAAGAGCGTTACGATGACCCGCTCCTCTTCGAACCGGGCGAGGGTTGGGACTATGGTTGTGGGCCAGATTGGGCAGGCAAACTGATAGAGCAGCTTACCGGCATGTCTCTGGAAAGATACCTGAGACTACACGTGTGGGCACCCCTGGGAGCATCTAGCTTCACCTTCTGGCCAAACGCAGAGGGGAAAGGTCACAAGGTCGCCACCCTCACAGAAAGAAACGTAACGACCGGGAGACTCGAGGTGCATCCTGATGTCCTGACCTTGAATCAAGGAGTCGACACGGAGTGCTTCGGAGGCCACGGGGCTTACTGCAGCGCAGGAGACTACATGGAGCTCATCTATTCCATCTTTAGCAACGACAGGCGTGTGCTCCAGCCCGATTCTGTGGAGATGATGTTTCAGGCCAACTTGTCGGACCAAAGCAGAGCAGCTCTGCAAGCAGACTTCGACAGGCGAAAACTTACTATTGGCGACTTCTACCGCGGCGAGGTCTACAATTGGGGATTGGGAGGAATGTTGATCGACGGCCGTCGTTCCGAGGCGGAGTGCCCCCGGGGACCAAATACTTTGGCATGGGGTGGTGGAACGAATCAATTTTGGGTCCGCTCTTTGCCCTCTCCCCTTTCAACTTTGTCTGCTAAACATAAGATACAGTTTATTGATCGAACCAACGGCTTCTGTGGTCTCATCATGTCTCACGTCCTTCCACCTCAAGACCCTCAGATCGAGGAAATTATTGGCGCATTTCAACGACATGTGTACAAGTCGAACCATGATCATGGTTTCCGAAGCTTTTTGTGATATGGCTATGGAATCGCAATACTCAACCCCGGCCCATGCTTGTAGCAGGGAGTTGTAAGTCGGGAACCGATTCCCGACATGTAGAGTTTTTCACGAGAGTGATACGAGGATAGACAAAGGCCACTAAACAGCGAATTTGAATAGTTCATGGAGTTCCCAAATTGACTGCAAGGTCTAAGCTTATAATTCATTCTTTCAAAACAATCTGCAAATGCCGCTGCTTGCTTTCACGAATCTCCTGGATGTGTTTATTGACCCAATATTCCCCACGGTATAAGCTTCAATCAAGCTTTGTACCACTTTTAGCTGCCGGTAGATCAGGCCCGTTGCCTATATAGAGTTTCGAATACGCGGGGCGGCTTTTATATCAAGTTACATGATACCTCATTTTGTTGGCTGTTGATTTGAACTGAAGGTCCAACTCCGTTATCAGCACTACATTAACTTTATTTGCGCTTGCAGCGCCTTATGTGGGTTTGTGTGGGGGGAGGGGGGGGGGGCGGGAAACGACCATCTAACTTCAGGTTCTTTGACATGCAGGCTCGGCTACAAGAATCTTAACGTCGTTTTCCAAGGGAGTCAACGACACACTACGAAAGTGCCATTCTAAGTAGCTTGTTATCGCAGAAACTTAATTCTTGTGAGTCACAAATACCAGAATATAGTTTTAATAAAATAGTATAGTGCCCACCTAGCACTTGAAGTGAGATGCTTTTTTAAGCTTGTTATGAGAGAAAGATGACTGTACTGCTGACTAGTTCTTATTATGGTGGTAGGGTAGCGTCTATATGTACTATAGCAATCCTCTAGTAATGCAAAACGATCGAGTCAAACAGTGCGAAAGTGCCATTCGCTCTCACTTCCGGATCAATTTGAGACTCAGGAATCGAGATCGACGTATGTCCAATCTTAAAGTAATGTAATTACAGCGGGCTGAGGATGCTGACAAAGTCTCCCGCCGGCTTCTGGGGTTCATCGGGTCGCCATGACTCTCAACAGAAGATGCCTTTGCACTTGACCCCTCCCCCCCTCCTGGGAGAACATAGATCTGAAGAGCATGCGCTCACCTGAAGAGATCCAGACGGTATTACCTACGACGTCTCTCTACATGTCGACTGAAGATGGGCCCTCAGGAAACTGGTTTCTGACGATAGAATAGCTGGTTGATTCCTTGACTGAATGCTAGACTGACCGAGATAATATGACAGGCTTTGCGGCCTCACAATAGCTTCTACTAAATAAACACTCGAAGCCACGATTGACTGAGTGACCATGCGTTGAGAAATGACCAGCAATCCATATGAACCACAAGCATGATGTTGGCAATGGCCCTCATATTACATAGAGGTATAGCCGAAGGCATCCCCCCGGCTCACTTGATTCCCGCCCCCACAGCATGTTGAAATCGCCAACAGGGGGTGAGGTAGAATGCCGATTTTGCCATGCGGTGAATCGTTGCCCGAATCATGCGTGCTAAACTTTCACACATCTCATCTGAGATACTCATGGCAAAGAATAGACTTCTAGCTAGTCCAATATCAACGGTAGCCGCTAGAAGTGATGTCAGCTAGCGCAATGGACGGAGATCACATTAGACTCACGCACAATCGACTGGTAATCGTCTTCCTTCCGCGCATAGCTCAGAAAGCGGTATTTCGCTCCTATGATCCCGGAGACAAATGTCAAGTTTGAGCCTCACTAGAATCGATCAAGTAATTGTGATATTTCTATCGCTCATATGCTAATTGACCCATAATCGAGAAGATAGAACCATGAGTTGACAGATTGCACATTTGACCTGCTTCTTTTCTAGCAGACCCAGCCTGCGAAACTGTGTTCCTCGAGAGCATTTGTTTAGAACATCAGGATCCTAACAGCAAGGGTGATCTCGTGACATCAAGATTCAAATGTGACCTTAGAAACAATATCCTCTAACGCATTCCTGTAAAGGTATCAGCATGGTGGTGGTAGTGACTACGTTCCCGCGTAGTACGAACCGCGACAGTGTACGCGACGCAAGTCTGTCAAGATGGTGTATTAGCGAATTGGACACAGTAGTATGGGTGTAGAATGGGCGTACACATCCTGACGAACTCATCGAGCAACACTCTTGGGGAGCATCGCGAACTGGA